CTAAGAGCGCTTGCTGAGAGCAGTCCATCCTTAGCTCTCTGCGATATAAAGGAGGATGCTTCCGTACACGTTCAAGAACAACTACGGGAGAACCCTCCTGCCGCGTCAAATGCGAGCAATCAATCTCATTATTTTGTGCAGCCGCAGCAGTCTTTCAATGCGCCTAACCTATTTTCGCTATATGTGCCTTCACAGTTCGTAGCTTCTGATGGATCCTTGACCGGTCCCATGCCAGTGCAGCCGGCCATACGGCTTGGCAAGCTTGCATTGGAACCGTTCACGGGAGACATCACACAGTTTCGTAGGTTTTGGTGTGCCTTCGAAGCTTGCGGTGCACAATGATCCAAATACTCCGCAGACGTATAAATTTTTGTATTTACAAAGTTTGCTTAAGGGCGATGCCCAAAGTAGTACTACAGGATCTCGACCCGGATGAATGCAACTACGCGGAGCTGGTGAAGGCTCTTAAGAAGCGGTACGACCGTCCTTATCGGACGCGAGCTACCCTTCACAAGCAGCTTCAGCAGCTCCCGTAGCTCGAAATACGGGCCCAGATCTTCGTAGTACCTGGTTTCGTGTGTCGGTATTCTTCACGGATTACGACGTTATGAAGACTTCAGCAGAGTTCTGCCGATTCTTGACTTAGTCAAGAGTAAGTTTCCTGCAGAAATTCAGCAGAAGTTCATGATCTCGAGTTTCAGACTCAATTCCGATTTCGATCTCACGCAGGTCATGGAGAAACTCGATCATATCATCTCGTCAAGGAGAAGTACGAAGACTCCACCACGTTAACCGACTAGCTTCTCTGTGAATACAGCTCCTCGTTCCCGCAGTCCATCGCGGCAGTGTTCATCTCCACGGCGCAGTCCATCGCGCCATCGTTCGTCGTCTTCGCATTCACAGGATTCATCTCGATGTTGTTTCTGTGATTCGCCAAATCACACTTCAACTCGTTGTTATCTTGATACATCAGTCTCCGTACGTCGTACCGTTGTAGATCTACGTGGACTCTGTCGGAGATGCTTACGGCATCGTCACTCGTCTCGGTCCTGTCACTATCCCTCGTGTCGCGTCTGCAGAGGTGATCATCACGAGATCCTCTGCAGTAGTCATCATCAGACGGTCATCATTCTAGGAGAGATTGGCGTAGTGACGAGTCTCGTCACCGTCATCGCTCTCCTGACCGGTATTCGTCGCGTAGTCCACCCAGGGACAGCAGGCGAACTCGTAGTTCGCCTCCTGGTGGCAGGTCATGTTCGCATTCATACGATCGTCGTTCGTCGAGTGAAGATCGTCGTTCATTAAGGATCACATTCTCCACAGCACGTCTCGTCTCGTTCATCCGTACAGGACTGTTCCAACGATCGACAACGTCCTTCCTCTCCAGACCCACGCCAGAATCAGCCTTTCGAGTCTGAAGATGAAGCAGATATGTTGCATCATTGTACTAGCGCCATTCCATCGGCCAACGTCGTTAACCCTTCACGCTGTGCTTCGCTCATGCTCGTAAGGGGTAAAACCCTCAACTGCAACTCCGCACAACTCGAGGAAATTACCTTGTTCCTCGATTCCGGAGCGCAGAATAGTTTCATAACATTAAGTTCAGCACAGCGCTTAGGGCTTAATATTGTCAGTTGTCGGCCTCGTACGTTCATCACGTTTGGTGGTCAGTCGACCACGGAAGTCTCAGGGTGTCAGCTGGCAAAGAGGTTGTACTCGTAGATTCGCTTGATGAGGAGCTCGATAGTGGAGCTCACTACCAAGCAAACACTCACACTAGCGCAATGTCCACCGCGCTTGTCAGATGAGGATGTGATTCATAAAAAACGTCAAATGGATTTTCGAATGCTCTATGTATTCCACAGTCTATCGATTCCTGATCCTTGAATCGTATTGAACCATTTGGGATGTTCTGTTGCAGGAGCCTCCTATCTGTCTGCCTTCGGGCATGGTACTGTGTCATACTCGATTCGGAACAGTCGTCTCCGGGAATCCGATTTTTTCTGTCGGGTCATCGCAAAGCTTAGACGCCATCTATGACGTTTCTTCCGAGCACGACGACGACAGTGTAGTATCTCGTCTTTGGTCGCTTGATGCCTTAGGTATCAATGACGACCATGATCCCGCCGGTAGATAGTCAAGCTCGAACAGCGTATTATACAAGAGTTTAACGATACAGCAGAGTTCGTCGACGGTATCCTTTACGTGCGCTTTCCTTGGAAAGCAGGTCATCCACGTCTAGACGATAACAAGCAGCTAGCGTATTGTCGCCTTCTCAACCAGTACCAGCGGTTGAGCCAAACCCCAGCGGTTTGGCAGCAGTATGTCAAGGCGATCGAGGATCACGTCTCGCAGGCTTCGTAGAGGACGTCGAAGAGTACGCCTTCGATGATCCGCGCGTTTATTACATCCCTCATCAGGCGGTCTATAAGGAGTCCTCCTCTACGACTAAACTGCGTATCGTCTTTGATGCCTCGTCGAAAGCGTAAGGACGCGTACAGTCTTCAATGACTGTCTCCATCAAGGTCCTTCGCTTTTGCCAGAATTGGTAGGCATTCTTCTTCGCGCACGCCTGCATCCGTTTCTCCTCGTAGCGGACGTGGAGAAGGCTTTCCATCAGGTCAGACTCCAGCGTTCGCAACGCGATGCTACTCGTTTCCTCTGGCTTAAGGATCCGTCGCAACCACCATCTCCTGCCAACTTGCGTATACTACGCTTCACTCGTATACCGTTTGGGGTCAATGCGTCACCATTCTTACTCGCTGCCGCTATCAAGTTGTATCTTCAGCGTGAAGCGTCGCCCGTAGGTGACGAGATTTCTCGTAACACCTACGTGGACAATGTCATCTTAGGCGCCACAACGCGTGAAGATGCACTTGCTAAATACCAGCTCGCTAAGTCCATCTTTAGTAGGATGCACATGAACTTGAGAGAGTTCCTGTGCAATTCTACTACGGTCAACTCCTCTATCACGCAACAAGATCGCGCTATCAATCCATCTAATGCTACTCTATTAGGTATTCCTTGGCAGTTTCAACATGGACACCTTAAACATCAAAGTTAAAGCTGCGTATGTTTCGGTTAATACTAAACGTACAGCGTTACGCGCACTTGCGTCTACCTTCGACCCTTGGGACTGCTCACCCCATTTCTAGCTCCAGTTAAGATCTTTATTCAAGATCTCTGGTTGCAGGAAATGGGTTGGGACACTCCCTTAGACAAGTCGCAGTTAGATCGGTGGAGTCAGCTCTTAGCTGACCTAAAACATCCGTTACCGCTTATTCCACGTTTAGTCATGCCATCGCGTACATTGCCTACTAGCTTAGAGCTGTGCGTATTTGGAGACGCTTCCAAGCGTCTTTACGCGTGTTGTGGTTATCTGGTTTGTCGCTTGCCAGGTGCAGTGCATTCGTGCCTGCTTATGGCAAAATCACACCTCAACCATCCCAAACCAGTTACCATACCACGCTCAGAACTCTTAGCAGCTCTATTAGCATTCGCTTAGCGCAGTATCTTGTTAAACATCTACAATTACCTATTGCAGCCGTTCATGTATTTTCAGATTCGTTAGTTGCATTGCATTGGATACATACGGATAGGCCTTACAGGGTCTTTGTTCAAAATCGTGTCTTAGCCATTCGCCGCTTAGTCGCAGAACTTAGGGCCCAGAACATTATAGTCAAATTCCACTACGTAGCTTCCGAGGACAATCCTGCCGACTGTGCTACTCGCGGTCTGGCAACGAAGGAAGCTAAAAATCATATCTGGTGGACTGGACCTCATTTTTCTGCGAAATCCGGTTGACCAAGTGGCCTAATGCTAACGTCAACTTCCGAATTCCACCGCAAGGTTACGAAGACGTAGAATTTGAATACATGAGTGTGCATGCAACACAGGAAGGTGAGTTTAAATCGGTGTTACCATTCTTAGTGACAAATAAGTATTTGAAACTTGCTCGTATAACCGTTTACGTACTTAAGTTCCTACGTAGGTTGATTTTTGACCGTGTATCGCAAGGTACACGCGATATTATCGACCTAAAATTACCAGCCGTAGGTTCAGTTACGTCATCAGGTACTATACACGCCTTGGACATCGATTCCGCAGAGATTCAGCTCATTCTCGCGCATTACCGCGAGAGTGAGTCGTTTCTAAAGCGGCCACAGCTCGCAAAATACCATCCTCAGCGAGCACAAAACCATCTAATTCGTTGTCCGGCGCGTATAGGTCCATTATATTCTGCACCTATACTTTTAGTACCTACGCATCCGTTAACGCAAGTTATAATACTTCATTATCACCATTTAAACCACCATTCGGGAGTTTACCACACCGTAGTTAACTTACGCAAAAGGTTTTTCATTCCATCTATACGCTCTTGCGTACGCAAAACCTTGCGTAATTGTGTCATCTGTAAAAAGGTCAATGGTCATCCCTATCGGTATCCTAATATGCCGCAGTTACCGCCAGAACGTACGGGAAGGTTTCGACCTTTCCAGAACATCGGCGTAGACTATCTCGGCCCAATTACCGCAGGCGATGCCCATAGGACCTCCAACAAGGTGTGGATATGTCTTTTTACATGTATGTCTACGCGTGCAGTACACTTAGAAGTTGTACTGGACAACACCACGCAAGAGTTTTTACTTGCGTTTCGTAGGTTCATCGCGCGTAGAGGTGCTCCAAGTGTCGTATATAGCGACAATTCAACTACCTTTCATGCCGCAGAAAGCGCTATAACATCAGTGCTTTACTCCCCCAAAGCTTGGGAGCCAATATCTAATTACTGCGTAAAGCATAAAATTAACTGGAAGTTCATAACCCCTCTTTCCCCTTGGAAAGGAGGGTTTTATGAACGTCTAGTCGCGCTTTTCAAGTCGGCCTACAAAAAGACCGTAGGTCGTGTTGTTTTGTCGCTTAGTCAACTGCAAACTATTGTGCCTGAAATCGAAGCGACACTTAATTCCCGTCCTATAACACCCTATCGGGAGGCTTACGTTTTGAGGCCAATAGACTTTATATCACCGGCTATAAACATACAAATACCACCTTTACCATCGCAGTCAGACCCGGTTTTTGACGTTTCACACAATTTTGTAGAGTGGTACAAAGAGATGCTCCGACTTCTTGACGCATTTTGGGAAGTGTGGTACTCTGACTACCTTTCTGCATTGCGAGAACGTCAACAACTCCGCATACGGCAGGCCCAAGTCCTCTGCAATAACACCGCAGGTGGGAGATATCGTCATCATCGCAGACGATAAACTCCCACGAGGACACTGGCCGTATGGTCTGATTGAGTCGTTACACACCGGCAAAGACGGCGCTGTACGTTCTGCAGACGTTCGCACGTCAACGGGTAAAGTCAAAACAAGATCTATATCTCATCTGTACCCTTTAGAAATACGTGCTAAATCAACATCTTTGGACGCTAAGCGTTCCTCAACCATCTCCTAGCGTTCAACGCGTTCAACCGTCTCGAACGGCAAAAACAGCGCACAGGTATATCCGTAGTACCGCTAGATAAACTATTAAACACCTTTTAAGCAACATGGCGTAGACCAGGCTTCTTTAATGCTGTGTGGTCGTCACGGAAATTAGGCAAGTTACGGCTTGCTCCATTTCGGTGATGAGCACATGGCATAGTCATTAGTACTTCTGCACATTGGTGCAATTCTTATTCCTTTCCTTTCTTAGAAAGTAGTTTTTCTCCTCTTTCTATCCTTTCGTAGCATAAGTATGCAACTTAGTTTATATACCTTATAATCACTTCATATTTATCATTTTCTAGTAATTTTGCAATTATTTATTTTCAGTACTAATTCCTATCTTGCCCGCTCTTCGGCACACCTCTCGCGCTCGCCCCCAGGATGGCTCGCTTAGGCGACCCATTTTAGGTCATACTGGCCGAGCAGAAATATCGCCTTTCAGCGACAGCAACATCAGTCGCCAGAAGTCGCCGTTGTGAGGTAAGTTTGGAGAGGTAAAGAGGAGAGAGGAGTGATGCATAATCACTCCTCCCTCGTTCATTAGTTAACTTAGTTAACATGTATACTTTTTTTCACGTAGCCGCGTAGCATTGCGGACCGTAGGTTCGCTGTTTTATTTGTTATTATTTATTTACAGCGTAGCCGACTTCATTGCATTCTCGCTTAGGCGAGACCTTTGCTCACGTAGTGAGCACTACCACCTTTGGGTGGCCCCCCTGGGAGCGGTGGGAGACCGCTATAATATTTTTTGTTCGGCCCGGGTTACTCTTTTTGTCCTTTCCCTTAACTGGCCCGTGGGTTCTTTCGCTTAGCGAGGTAAAATTCTCCCCCTCGCACAAAATTATCCCCTTAGTGTGAGGCAAAACTCACACCGTAGGCACGGAAACCACCCGCAGTTGTTTTATTCTCGTCGTCGAAGTCCATCATCGTCACGCTGTACGTCGAGTTCAACTGTGCCGTCGCCTACATCCACTACGTCGTATCGAAGCAGTCCGTCGTCATGAACATCTCGTGGCCGTTCCGATTACGTCGCATCCAGCACCCGTCATCGATTATATTGATCGTTGTGTGTTGTACATATTTTTGTTGTGTAGTAACATATTGTATAACTGAAGCAATGGCCCTCAGTCGAACGTCAATTCCACCCCACGAACCCTTGCCTTAGGCCCAGTAGGTCGTCCGTCGATTAACTAACTGTGTCTGTATTCTAGTGGCGTAGTCGCCGAGGTAAGAACGAGGCGTGCAGTACCTAGCGTAGCCAGGACCCATTCGTCTTCTTGCCGCCCCCAGTGTCGTGACTTTCGTACGACTCTTTTTAAAGGGTCGCGTTTATGGGGCGCGCGGCGGTCCTGGCGCGCTTAGCGGTACGGTCGAACATTCTAGAAGCCGCTAGGGACGCAGAGTCGCCGCCGACTCTGGCCTTTCTCTCAGTCTACGTCCTGCTGTCATCTCGACTGGTCGCTCCGCTCTGCTCTTCGCCCAGCCGTCAACGTCATCGTCCGTCCGCGCTGGTTGCTGTCAACGTCCAAGGAGTGGTGCAACGCGAAGGAGCCGAATCGCCTCAAGGCCGCCGAAGTCCCAGGTAACCACTAGGAGCGGAGGGGCATCCGAACCTCTTGGACAGCCAGAGGGGAGGATGCTTTCGATGCCCCTAGTGGGCTGTTGCCTCGTAGCCCTTAGGTTGTAGGCAGGGTTCGTCCTGTAGGCTAGGGCCGTGTCTTTCCTTTTCGTAGTTGATTCTTTTGTTTGTAATGTCATAGTTATCAGTAGTCATTAAATCAATAATTTATATGTGTGTATTCTCGATCGATAATGACAAGTGGTAATGCCATGATATCTTTATTGATTAGTTAGTTGCAGTAGTTAGTTAGTATTTTATCGGCTGCATAGCTGAGGTAAAGTTATGTTCGGCGCCGTAGATCTGTGTGACTACGGCTTTGTCATCCCTTAGCGTATGTTAGGCGCAGGCGTAGGTTTGTTGGGTAACATCTGGTAAATAGCCGTAGTGCGCGCCGCGTAGGGGCAGTAAGGGCCTATAGGTTGCGGAAAGTAGCAACAACAGCACCCGCGTGGCAACACCGTAGGCGAGCGAGGGCAAGCGCTCGTAAGTCCCCACGCACGTACTCGCGCCGAGCGCGACTCTCTCCACCGCAGGTGAACCCCGGTGCTTAGTTGGCATTAGCGGAGGGATTGAGTCGCCCCCGGCACGACATGGTGCATACGGCTGGGGTTCAACGTGTGGGAAACCCACGTTGGGCCTTAGCGATCGAGCCTTGTCTGCGCTTGCCACGTACCTGTAGGTCTAGGTAATAGTCGCAGCGTAGTTTGCGTTACCATTTGGTCGACACCTCTGTTACATTAACCTGCGTACGCTATAACTGGGGTATTGCCCTCTTCTCTCATGTGGGACCATGACCTCTTACCCATGTCGACTGAGTGGCAGAGCCGCACATGGGGACAGCTGCGTACGCGTGGCAGAGCCATGGTTGACTCTGTACAGGTGGGGGAAGGAATGATGTATGCCGTAAAAAGCATACTGGAAACCCCTCTTGGGCATGTCGCTGAATGCAAACTTGGGTGGCCATAAGGTTTGGATTGAGCCCTTGCCCGCAACTTCACATGTCTCAAGGCCTTAGCTACAAGGCGTAGGTGTAATAAAACAATCGTTGTCGACCAAATTTGTGCGCTTACGGCACTCCTATTTACTTCTGCTGTTTCTGCGCCTTTCTCGGTTATCTACCTCTTAGGTTGATCCCTACGTTTTCGCTCAAACATTTCGCGCCCGATTGCCGTCGTACCTTGCCTGGCCGGCACGCCGCTTAGTAAATATTCGTTTTTGCCGCAGGGAGCTAGTGGCCAATAGCTACCCTACGGCCTAATACAAACTCATTTTTCAATATTCAGACACGGTTCGGCAGTTACCACCTCCTGCCAGCGCTTACAATGACGACCTTTGATATGTACAAAGCGAATTTGACCGAGGCAATTGTCGCATGGGAAGTAGTTCAAGGTAAGATTCCTGCATCCATACTCCATCCAATGGTTGCAAGCGTAGGCGACCAGCGGCAAATGCTCGATGAGCGCAAAGCGTCTTTAGAATATCATGTTGCGCAGGTTTGCACGGCACTTAGTAATTTAAAAGAGCAACGTTCAGCATTCTTAGTTTTCGTAGCGAAGT